GCGGCGGGAGGGATAATTGATGTTCGTTTGCATGCCAAGCCCGAGATAATTGCTAAAGATTCTCATTAATTACCAGGGAGGCTATTGGTCAAAGGTGGGGCTGTGATGGCGGTGTGCGAGAGGTGTCTTGGCACAGCTGTGCAGGCGGGAGTTTACGGACCTAGTGCACTAATCGATGTCAGTCCAGTCCAACACCCCTTGCCCCCCAAATCATTGCGGCACTGCTGGCACTGGGGCCTGATTAACAGCCTCCCACCCAGAGCTCCCTTGTGTGATTTGAGACCTCCCTCCACATCCCAAACCGTGCAGCTGGGTCCCCTCTAGGGACGTGGAAGGCCACGAACTCTATGGGTTTAACTTAATGCCCAGTGTAGCATCATGCTATGCCCCCCAGCAATGGGAGAGCTGGCCATCATTTGAAACGTCTCTGTTTCTGTTTGCCAGCCAAGGGCGGATCCAGCTGCACCTCCCTTCGATTGCGGCTCCACCCAAACTCAGCATTTCTGTTCAGGCAACAGGGAGGGAGTCACCTGACTTCGTGGCTTATTCCTACCCGATTCCTGCTAAACTCTTCATTCCACAGGTGTTAACAACCCTCTCCTTTGCAATGGTCTTGATTTTCCACTGATCAAGCTATCCTTTCATTTGCAATCATGCTGTCTGTTTGTGGCTCCTGGTAACATAGCTCCTATTTCGCAGCCCTGCAGGCTGGTTTTTAACTCTAGCTAAAAACGTGAACTCAGGTGCAGAGACATGAACTCAGGCCTGCAAATAACCTTCAGTGAAGTACTGGATGCCGTGCTCAAGAAGGCTTGGTTTTGTTTTATGAATCTGAAAGAGGTGCACATTTAATTCTAATGACTACAGGACGAACGAAATGTCTTTTGATTATTTTTCGCCTAGTTTATTCTGCGTTTGCACATCCCAATAATGTTATATTTGTGTTTGCTTCAGTCTGAAACTGAATAATGCAGCCCTAAGCCATTCAATTATTAATAAAGCTTGTAGTTTTCTCTTCAGCTGGAGCAAATGCATGGTGTTTTTGTATGTGATGATGCACCACCCTATCTGTGCCCCCTCTTTGCAAAATCCTAGATCTGGCCATGCTGCCAGCAGAGCTGATGTACAGAGCAAGGGGCTGCTCTGTGGCCCAGATGCAGTAACACGGCATTTCTGCTTCTCCTTCCATTAGGCTCTTCCAGTGGGATACACATCACCAAGATGTGCATGAGAATGTGTCAAGAAACCAGCCAAAGCCACGGAAACATGTCCACCACTTGCTGCCAGACTGACTATTGCAATCATAACAGTGCGGCCACCTCTGGGATCAGCTCTGCTGTGCTGGTGGCTGCCTTCCTGGCCAGCTCCCTCCATCTCCTGTCCTGGGCTGGACCCTGATGCACTGGGGAATTGCAGGGGTTGGGCCCTGAAGGGGATGTTTGAGCATCTTAAATAGCAAGACCCTGTTTGCAAAGAGTTTCCCTGTTGTGTTTCTCAGCACAGTTGTGCCCCGAAACCTCCCCGACCCGGCCCTGTCTCTCAGCCCATCTGCTCGGTTGAGCAGAGATGCGGGAAACTCAGCCGAAAAGTGCTGCCCTTGTAGACAAAGCTGGCTGAGTCTAGGGTGGGAGCTGCCACCCCACAGGCCCTACCATTAACGAAGCTGATCATCGGGGGTGGGGGGTCACAGCAATAATGATAACGGCTCTTATTCTGCCAGGAAATGCCCATCCAAAGTGGCTGAGATTCGGAAGACAGAGCATTGAGATGCAAGCGCTGGTGAATTGAGGGGCCAGAAACTCACTGGAGAGGAGCTGTCAGAAGAGAGCCAGGGTTTGTGCACCTGTGCTGGTCTCGAGACCTCTTCTCACTCCCTTGTGCCCACCCAGCGGGAGGAATAAATGCCTTTTCCTTGCTCCGAGTGCACCTTGGGGAAACGGAGGCTCGGGTTGCGTCTACACGTGCATGCCTGAGCTGGCCTTAAATGAGCCCGTGTAGGGAGCCAGTGGCAGTCTAGCCCTGGCACCTAAACCAGATTCACTTCCACGCCGGCAGTGTAGACACAGCCTCCGACTCCAAGGTGCCACCAGAGATATTACTGGATCCGGCCCCAGGTTAAAGCCACATTAAAGACCGAATTCAGCCCTATGAATTGCTGTGATCACAGCCCTGCTCTGACCCCAAAAGCAAAGCACCCTGGGTCCAGGGTGGTGGCGGGGGTGATGCGCCTCAGTCCCCGGGGTCTGGCCACGCTGAGGCTCCCACCTGGCCAAGCCACCAATAAAAGAAACCCTTGAAAGAAGTGAGCCTCAAATTAATCAATTCATCAATCAGCCTCCAAAGTGGAGTTTTTACCTTGAGAATGGAGGCACGCCGGAGGTATCCACTGTAGGCTTAGCCATTGCTTTTGATTTCAGGTGGATGGTGCCAGCGATGTGCAGCCAGGTGAACCCTAGGGTAGAGGTTTATGCACGTTGCAGGTGTTAGCTGTGAAAAGGGGCCCTGGCAAACCGAGGAGTGGTGTCCCTTGGCCGTGGTGTAAGGGGAGACAGGCCATCACCCCACCCCAAAGCTTGTTGTGACCCCCCCGATGATCAGAAAGGCAACTGCTTGGAGAAAATGATCCTGTAATGATAGATCCCATGTTCTAGCATCATGTGCAGGGACAATCACTGCCCCAGAGGAGGTATTTGCTGCCCACAGCTCTGCTCTTCCCCCCTTTATCTACCCCCATCTCCTCACTTGCTACCCAGTTCCCATCCCCAAAACCAGCCTGCACCCAGCTCTGATCACATCTCCCCCAGCGCCCTTATCAGCATCAGCACCCAACACCGGTGCATCAATGTCCTGTGACTGCTCATGGTATAGTTTCATAGTTTCTTGGGTCAGAAGGGACCTGAGCAGAT